GCTCTAATGTGCAAATAGGACTATATAAAGGACCTACAAGTACATTTTTTGGTACACATTCAGCTTGTACATGTATGTACAAAGGTGACAGGTCCACGTTACAACAAACAGTATGAGGTGTACAGTATTATTATGACATAGGGAAAACTTAGTCAAACAATGATTACATAATCTGGTGGTAACAGACACCTGTGACTCAGTGAGGCTGTGACATATCTTATAAGAATGTTTGCTTCTTGCAGTATCATTGAAAACGTCATAAAAATGTGGAGGGCAATGTTGATGCCAAACAAATTCAACAGGAGGCAATTTCTTTACGGACATTTTTTTACATTAGATTCACACAACAGTCTTTTAACTTTACATGCACCGGTAAGTTTAGACAGGGCCTTCCCATCTCCCTTGTTTAGGTCATACTAGTTTAAACTTTGAAGTTATCTTGTAGTTAGGGACCTTGCAAATGTACTTGTGAATGGTGCATCGTTGTTTATAAATATGAGGTTCCCAAACTTAAAGTTGGTAACAGTCAAATGAGGAAAGAAAGTGATCATTACACTTTCCTATTGCTGTTGAGTCCCCCCCCCCCCCCCCATCGGTAGGCCTACCTACAATTTTAAGAGCAAGTGTGAACATGGATATAATCTCAGCCCATGATTCAGAATGGAAAGTGGTCAAACCACATCATGTCTAAATGGAATGTTTAACAGAAAACGTCACTTTCTATTTCTTTTCAATGTACCGGTAGAAGAATACCCAGGAATATACGATCCTTTACGTTCCTTTCTTCTACATGAATGCTGATTGATTTCATAACAATGGAAGACTGCTCCTAAAATCAATGTCAGCATTGAGTACCGTAGGGTATAATTATAAGATGTTTACTACGGTGTAAAAATACTTTTTGGGGGGGTTAAAGGGATCGTTTAACAATGTTAAATCTGAGATACACGGCCCTACGTGTTATCAGTGTCTGTGATAAGGTGTAATATTGAAGCACTAAAAAAATTGCGCTTCAAAATGATCAAGAAGTGCCTCAAAAAAGTAAAAATCTTTGTGTGACCGGTTTTACCATACTCGTTTTCCCCAATAGACTTTAGTGTTATGAAAACCGTCAGGCGAACGGTTTTCAAAATTTGTAATTCCAATCATAAATATCTTGATAATCAGGCAGGCGATCGGCTTGTAAAAGTCATGGGGTTCCTGACTGACCTAAAGGTTTATAATTATCATTGCATCATGCGCTAAATCCAGAATTTTGTTTCAGAATCTAAGACAAAGTTACCGGATCCCTTTAATACATGTAGGTGGCGGATCTTTTTGGAAATATGCTATTGTAAATAATTACAATGCCAAAATGCACTTTCCAAAGAAAATTTGTGATGGAAATGGGGGGGGGGGGGGGTGTTATTCCTTAGGGTTTCTTTCCACTTTTTTTTTCTCCACTGGTTTACTAGAAACATGTTGCTTTAAATGAAGCATCCAATGATCTATTCATACTGTCCTCATACTCAAACAAACACATGATTGTTCTTTCAGTTCATGACGAAGTCTGGGCATGACTCATGAAGACGAGTATAGCAAACTCTTCTAACCACTAGACAGTGATGAAGAGCTGAATCGATCATCGGATTTCATTTGGTTGACCTACATAGATAGCTCTACATGACGACACCCCATGGGCTACGTTCACACGTAAAAGTAGTCTACAGGCCCATTTACACATCTCAAACACCATTTTGAAAAATCAACAATATTTTGAACTACCATTTAGGCATTTACAATACTGGGAAAACCCATTAATAATGTTGGTGAAAGTTCATATTGACTTTTTGGTGAGTAGTGCACATGGGCAACTTGTCGCTTCTCTTTGTGCCATCACACTGAAGCAAGGAGAGACACATCACAAAAACAAGCATCGTACCAAAAAATTTCGCTTTACACTGCAAAAAATCTGTAAAATGTCAGCAGTCATTTAAAGCCCATCTGCACTAGTTTGGCCAGGAGGATTAGACCTCCCTGCATGGTCACTGACAGGTGGTCATATCATCAAATAAGCTCTCAATCAACATAAGAAAAAGGGGATCATGGGAAACAAAACAGGCACTGATTAGGCATTGTTTGCTATGTAGAGGGCGCAAGTAGCTATAAGTAGTGCAGTGGGGCTTTAAAAAAAAATCACTCAAGAGACCAGAGGTGGATTTTTCAATTTTGGGTTTTTTAGTCGTGTTTGCCAGTAGTTGCTAACTACCGACGAAACACTGGAATGTGAGAAAATCAATGATTTTTTTCTTGCAGTGTAAATGCAGCTTACATGTACACTGTATATTAGAACAGGGAAGAAATGTTCTCAGGCTCAGCAGGGTCCCATTTACACAGTGGCAATCTTCTAAGCAAAGGCATTTAGTGTAACAAAATACTTTTTTGTTCAAAAGAGCTCTGATTGCTTTTGCTAAATTGTAATAGTGTGATATTCTCACAGTGGTTTTTAATATTATTTTAATGTTTTGATTTAGATCCTTTTTTAGCATTTAGTTTCCCAGAGCTCTATAATTACTAAAACTTTTCCCACAGCAAAACCATGCTGTGTTTCTATTTCCCTCACTAAAACCATTTCACTATTTTGATCTAGTACAAAAAGAAACAACTCAAACAAGAAAATTCCCTCAATTTTGCATTTGGTCTACATTTGCAAAATAACTTGTCAGTAATCGGAATAACACCAAAAACATTTCCCAATAACTTGCATAACAGAATATTGAAATCTTTAAAAGTTTCATATTTCAAACATTCATTCCCCTTTCATTATTGGTCTGATTTTTTTTCTTCTCAAACTTTCGCCATTCGCTCATTCTTTTTCTCTTATTTTCCTGCCTTTGAACTTATCATAAAGGTTGGATTGTCCTTTTTTTTTAATTGCTGGAAATAACATGCACTAAAAAAACATAAATCAAATTTGCACAATTAGAAGACTCTGTCGATCGTTTGTTTGACACCTAGAGAGCTACCCCGTTTTTTATTTTTTTATTTTCATATCACTCAAATATATACCTCCTATCAAAAGGCAGGCGCGTAGCCAGGGGGGGGGCAGTGGGGGCGGTCGCCCCCCAAAAAACGCCGGACCGAAAAAAAAAGAGAAAGAGAAAGAGAAGAAAAAAAGTAAGAGGACGTAGGAAGAAAAAAGGGTAATGGAGTCAAGAACGGTACACCGAATTGTCTTCTTTCTCTAATAATTTAATGAAACGTCAAAGCTTCTGTGATTCGCGCGGGAAGGGGGAAATTGAGTTCAAATTAAAGATTAAGAGTCGAGAACGGTACAACAAATCATCTTCTTTCTCTAATAATTTAATGAAGCGTCTAAGCTTCCGCGCTTTGCGCAGGAGGGGGACTGAATACAGATAAGGATTAAGAGTCGGGAAAGGTACAACATATCGTCTTCTTTGCCTTTGTGTATTTTCTGGATCATTAATGTTAATTTCTTTAATTTCTTTTCATTTTTTATTCAGATACTTTATGTACAAAATCTTTATACATGACTCTCTATTCACCTACACCAACAGCGCCATGTACCCCCCCCCCCCCCCCCTCTTCCCGGCTGCTATCAACTCAAGCATCCTTGCTTATGATAGTTGGCCTCTGCATTTATCTTGATTATTTTTTACTTACCCCCATACTTTTAAGCTTTCAATTATGCATTTTTATTTTGTGTGTATTAAGTTGTCACTCTTTATGTAAATCAATTATATTATATACTATTATTGTTATTTGAATGTTTTATATTTGATTTATCAATAAATGCAGAAACATCTGCTTAAAAAAAAAAAAAAAAGTGACAACTTTCCTTTTCTACCTGTGTTTTCTTCCCTTCGTGACCTTCTATCACTATCTGAATCCTATATGTATTTCAATAAATCTACACAAAATCTAAGAGTCGGGTCACCAATTTTATTTCTAATGCAGCTGAGTAACAGAATGTGAGCGATATCAGAAGATTGAATAAAGATTCTGTACAGGTTTCTGCAGGCAGGAATGAGAAACTACTTGTAGGAATATTATTGAGTAATTTGAGTTTATAATCTTTACACATCAACCTTGCCTTAGGGCCTATCAATAACAAAATGTCATAAAACAATCACATGGGATATAATAAATGGCACACATAAATATGCAATAAAATCAAAAAGTACACTTGTACGTCCATCTCATGAAATACTGTAAGCCACTGCCTGCTCGAGTGTGTACACACATTTGCGTGTAATTGTTAAAGTCTATGGGGAGGCGGAATCCCTCAAAGGCATTACACGCAATGAATCACTACAGAGTAAATGAGTATCCCAGTGGCAGATTCTTGTATTCCATGATAATTCCGTACATTGGTTTTTGCATAACATTCTCAGCAAATATGATTGGAATCATTGAACGTCAAAAACTAAGTTAACCATCATGGTTGTCTCCTAGTCCGACACTAGATCTGTGTCAATTGTTAAGTATGGTTCCACTTTTAAGTTCTATTTTTTTTAACTTTTTGTTGAAACTTAAGCTAAGTTCAAGAGTAAAGATTAAAACTAAAACTAGTAAAACAAAAACTTATAAGTAAAAGACCAACCAGGCCAAGTCAGCAACTGAGCAAGTGTGTCTTCTTCATCTAGACTCTAGTACTAGATCTAGATCTAGTATGATCTTGTGCAGATTGTAAAAGTTACACTGAAAACAATGAGTCACCGTCCTTCCTTGGCCTTGCCAATTTATGATACAGCATGTGAGTAATTATAAACATCAAAACATTAGTGAATATTTTAAAATCAATTTAGTGGTCAATCTGAGACAAGGCCAAGGCTGGAACAATGTCAATGTAGCCGCGCTCCCTTTATGCGCTAGCGGCGATGGAGGACTAGCCTCCGCCTTAGCTCTGGCAGCGCAATTTGCCTGTTCAGCCTGGTCAGCCCAAAGACCCCCGTCACTTATCAACGAAATAACGTCATCATCGACGAGAGTTTACTTACAAGAAATTCATTTTCTCTGCCACTGTGATAGGTACTGAAGAACAAGAAGAGATGAATATTTGTTCATCAGCCAAAGAAGCCAAACGAAGGCACTTTTCTCCGGCTACATCACTTGACACTCCCAATAAAGATTTTTGATGTTTTTTAGAGTCTAATCCACGTCTCGCCAGTTCGCACTTATAAATCGAGATCATCCGATAAATTATGGAATGTGCGTCCGTAAGGCGTAATGCACGCGCGGTATTAAGTGGACCTGAAGTGGACCGATGAAGACTGAAGCTACCGCCCATTACTACTGTACTGTAAGCAGTTTCATTCACATTGTTATGTTTTCTCTTATCTTTTCCTCATTTTCCCTTTACTTTCTTTATCTGTTATAATGATTACAGGGCCCGGACCGGCCCTCAGGGAGAACAGTATGAATACTGATGAGGCATATTATTATTATTATTATTATTATTATTAACTTGCTTTCTGTTCATTCAGTTCTACTTTTGTATTCTTTCTTTCTTATTTCTTTCTTAGCTTTCCATTTTCTTTCCTTTTCCCTTGTTTCTTTCCATATATAAATGTTGTGATTTCAGTTACTTAATTACCACTGATCTGTCAATATATTATCATTATTATCATTATTCTTATTATTGATACTATTACATGTAATATTATTATTATTATCATTAATATCATTTTAATATTATTTTATTACAATTCTATTATTTGTATTATCGTTACTATTATTTTTATTATTTGGTTACCATCATTATTATCATTAATATTATTATTATGACGATTATTTATCTTTTTTTCTGTCTTCCTTCCTTTCTTTCTTTGTTTTTATTACTTTTTTAATAACAAAGTTTGTGTTCGCAGTCACCAACAATTCATCTTTATTATTATTTATACAACTTTATACAACAATATTTATTTTTTATTCCAAGAAGGGGTCGTTCTAGAGATGCGGTGCTTGACTTTGCGCTGCTACAAAGCTTACGATTTACAATAAACGACGATCATTCTAATCATGATTTAGGCCCTAAAGCCGCCCTAAACATAATTACGGGGTCAACAATGATAATAACAAAATGGTAAGACAGGACGGGGGGGGGGGGGAGGCGGGCATAGGCAATATGTTGTATTGTTTAGGTACCGATGAGGGGGGGGGGGGGGGGGGCTCAACAGCAATAGGAAAGAGTAATGAGGGGAGGCGGGCATAGGCAAAATTAATGTTGTATTCTTTAAATCGTAGGTACCGATGAGGGGGGGGGGGGGGGGGCTCAACAGGAATGGGAAAGAGTAATGAAACATTTTCCCACTCTTGTATTAAGTGTTATATGGCAATCAGTCAAATTTAACTGTTAACTATCAAATAGCATGAAGTCTCTTTTGTTTGTGTGTGCATGTCGGCGTGTGAGAGTTAGTAAGAGAGAGTGTGTGTGTGTGCGTGTTATATTTAAGTCGGTGCAAGCCAGAAAGGCATCAAGGGGGGGGGGGGGAGGGGGGGGGGGGAGGGGGGGGGTGTCAATATTTTCAAAGTAGTATTTTTGATCTGGAGCACACAACAATCAACAAATATCTGTAGCAAAAGAGTTTAGGAATCAAATGTCACGACTGAAAAGTTTCTGCTTGCAGATAGTTTACTGATGGGCTGCCACACACCCTAAGCATAACAAAAAAAAATGCCCCCTAAATTACAAACTAGAAAGAAACCCTTTTTTCTGCAAAAGATTGTAGGGTACCTTATCTTTTTGGGCTCAGCTCAAATGGTTCGCCGCTATATATCATTCTTGTATTGCGTTATTACGAATCAAGTAAGGGGAAAGAAATTACTGAGAAGAAGGAGAGCAGAAGCAAAAAATACAATACCACGTTCCTTCCTCTTATTTCGTTATAATTCAAAGTAAGGACAATCAGTCATACTTGACAATTATTGTTGCCAATTACTTAATTTTTTTCTCCTCTTTCTCTCCCTTTATTGATAATTAATTATATACTTTCTATAATTTTCTCCCTTTTTCATTCCTAACAAAATTATAAACAATTACAACATCTCTCAGCTATAAAAATCCATAATATACCCGTGTATTGCGGATGCCATGTTTGCGATTTTGGACTGATACCAGTTGATCATTTCAGTTGCGCGCGCGTACGTGCGCCTCTGGAACCGGAAGTAGAAATGCAACCATATAGAATGGCTTCGTTCAACCGTCCCTCAACCCCACCAAGTAATCCTGGTTCAGGAAGGCCCTGGATGGCTACGTCAAGCCCAAGAAAAGCTCTATTTCGATCGCCGGCTGCCATTGAAGATACCCAGTCTGCAGGTGAGTCATTTAACTTTCTTCTTTGAAGATAAAGCCATCTTTTTCGGCCTTGAAATTTGTAATAGTCCCATGCACTTCTGTTTATGCATGCAAGTGTCTATACATTACAAGGGCGTCGGTAAAAATTGCGCTGCCGTCAGAAAAAATGAGAAAAGAGGGAGGGGAAAATGAGAGGGAAAGAAAAGAGAGGAAAGAGAAGAGAAGAGAAGAAAAAAAAAGGAAGGAAAGAGAGGAAAGAAAGGAAAAGAAAAAAATGAGAAAAGGAAAAAAAGAACAAAAAAAAGAAGAAAAGAAACGGGTGATGAAAGAGAGGGGAGGGGTAATACTAGAGAGGAGGGTTGTTGTTGGGTGGAGTCGTCTCGTAGAGGGAGCAAGAAAGATACGCATGCCATAGATATGATTATGATGCTGTGTCGGTCAGCTGTGTCAGTATTCTTGCTCGATCCTCTTGTACTAGAAATACTGTCTAGAATCTATATCTATGCAGAAGTTTGAAGTCAGTGAGATGTATAATGTCAGTTGACCGGCAATTTGTTTTCTCCCTGCGAACTGTGACTTTTTATCCACTACTAGTCTTGATGAAATAAACCGTATAGTGATGTGGTCGAGGAAAATGACCATGTGCGCATACGCAAGTACTATCGATAGTTCCTAGGAAAAATAATTTAGCCCCCTGCCCCGGGTTTATAGGGTTTAATTTGTAGACTTTGGAACATTGGCATTAACATATTTGTCGGTAATTGGTGGCCAGTTTTGTCAGTAATCGGTGGCCTCTACACCCCGCCCCCACTGAAAAAGGTCTAGAGACACCCCTGGGTGCAGGTCACCCAGACCAAAACAAAGCCATTGGCCAATCAAATCGTTTGTTTGATATTGGGTTTATGAATTTAGATGATAATATGAAATTTGATGTTGTCATCACCTACGGCCTACCCTTGATTGAGATCCATACCCTTGCATGAATAGTGATGTAGAAAAAACCTAAAATGGTTCTTAATCGCCCATACCCACACCTGACGAATCTTGCGCACTGGCTTTGGCACCATGATGTGTCGTATACACATACTGCACATGTACTAAACAACTGGGAAAAAATTTCAAAATTATTGTTGCAATTTCATACTTTACATTTAATAGCAATTAGTGTAAAAGTGCGCGCACACAGGGAGGTCACTAAATTCAGCGAACTCGTGTGTGAGCCTTAGTATACTATAAACTAAGGCCAAATAACAAAAATGAAGTGTTTCTCGTCCCCTACCGCCTCCTTTTTTGCTGCCACCTCCCTTTTTTAAAACTATTTACTATTCAGAGGGAAAAAAATCCCCCCCCCCCCACCCAAAAGAAAAAAAAAGAAGAAGCCAGCGATATACATTTTGTTTAAATAGCTTCTAAAGTGATATAAATCATTTGTTTTGCCATACATTGCATCAGTATATATATATTCACATAGCATAATATCTGTGAATAAATAGGCTTTGCCAGCTATAATTAGCATGGCAGCCATCTTGGGAAAAAAATTGCAATATACATGTAGTAAATAGAAATGCCCTGCCTCCTTTTTAAAAGTCTGGACGAGAAACACATTATTTTTGTTATTTGGCCTAATTGAAATGGAAGTAAAAACTACCCAACAATAAGTCACCAGCAACATACTCACACTTTATTAATTCTATTTCCAGATCTACAGTTAGATAAAATGGAAGTTGAGCAGCTGACAGAGAACTGTGTGAAAAATCTACAGAAAGGTGAGTCTTGCCACTCTGATGAAAGTAGACCTTAAGATGTTTTGATAAAGCTCAAATGTACACCAGAGTTGGTATTCTGTTTTATAGTCTAGACAACTGGTTTAAATTTTCTAAAATCTTGCTCTATTAATTGCTCAGATATCTTGTAGTTGCAAACTGAATTGCTTTGTAAGTATTATTTGTGGGTATTTGCCGTATTGAACAGTGTATATTTGGTATGATGCTATAATCTTTAATTTTTCAGTCAAAGACTAGAATTCGTGACTACACTGTACATGTACCTTTAAGTAGAACCTTTATTTTCATCAAGAGTGACAGTCACATTTCATTCATTGGTTCTGTAAAAAAAACTATAAAAAAACAATAATAACAAAACTTACATTCCTAGATTAAGTACAAGAATTAAAGAGATAGATTGATATTAAAGGCATGGTATTCTAGTTTTTTTCTACTGACCCCACTTTTGATTTATGTACACTGCCATCTGCTGGTCACAATGTCCCGAGGTGTCAACAGCCATGTCCCACAATGCATCACCAACCGATGATTTGCCTGTGGTGATGCTTGAGGTACAAACCGCTCTACGTCGGCCTTCACTATTACAGCAGGGGAAGTGATGTTATTGAAATACCCTGCCTTTAAAAGTGGGACTGCACTACTTGCGCCCTCTATATACATTGTAGCCAACAATGCCTAAGTGGTCCTGTTGGTCCCCTTTTTCTTATGTCAAGTGACAGCTGATTTGATGAGATAACCACCTGCCAGTGACCACGCAGGGAAGTCCAAACTAGTGTAGATAGGCTTTAAGAAAGATTTAACATGTATTATTAACCTGTTTTCCTTACCATATTTTGAATTTACAGAGATCCACGAGCAGAGACTGAATGACCTTCGTAAGAAGATGGTTTGGCTGACGGAGACAGACTGGAAGTACAAGAGACCAGAGGAGCTGATCGGTCTAGAGAAATGAGAGCATCTTCTGTGATGTCATTGATAATGTCATTGAGGACGTCATTGACAATGTCATTCATGGTGTCATTCAAGGTGTTCTAGAGGTGAAGGTTGTTGCCCTTTCTCTTGTAGGGAGAGGGGAGGTACTGAATTGTGCAGGTGGGGGAGGGGAATGCAAAGAAAGAAGTTTGTCGCTTTGATGAGATAAAAGAGTAACCTGCCACCAGTGCTTAGTTTGAACTGCGTGGAGAAATAACTTGTCATATATGTCATTGACAATGACATTGAGGATACCCTTGAGATGATAGAAGGTCATTGTCTTTCTTTTTATGGGGTGAAGAAAGGCATAATTTAACTTTGCCAGAAATTATGCAAAGAATGTTTGCCACTCTGATCAGGAGAAAGAAGATAACTCGGCACAAAACATCATTCTAAATAGCCTGTTTATTACCTAGGGGAAATGTGGACTTTCCATGATGTCATCGATAATGTCATTCATGTTGTCTGTGATATAATTTGGAGTTTGTCAACTCTCTTCTCGGATGGGGGCGAGGGAGAGCATAGATGGATCCAGAAACGTAGATGGAGGTGTGAAATTGAAAAGAAAGCGCTTTTTTGTCTGTCATCGAAAGAAGTAGACGATTGTTTTCCATCAACCACTACCGTACATGTATTCCGAACAGCCTGCTAGTGATATAGCTTGTGCAAGGTCTATTTCATGCAGGCATGTCAATGTTCAGAGTTCAGGCAGTTTTCTAATTTCAAGATCTTTGCAGAATGGCAGTTCCTAGTACATTGGATGATCGACCTGCGTACTGGTACCTAGTATTAGAGAGGCTGAGAAACGTTTGGAAGTGAAGTCCAAGATGAATAGTAGTTATGTTTCATTTAGAATAGAATTGACTTGGGAAGATTTAGCCGGTCCATGTTCTAGTGGGACTATCAACCTTCAGTCAACTCTAATTTTTGATTCAATTTGTTACGATGCTCTGATTGATGCTCTAAACGTCTAGTACAGATATTCTGGCGACAGTTTCCTATGCTAACCAAATTCTTAAATTCAACCCATGATCAAACACTATTCTTGACCCTAATTCTCAACCTAAACTAAATCTCAACTGCAAACGCAATCTCAACACTATATCTTTCATAAAATGAAGGTCAGAGCAATTATAAGGACACCAAGTTTACATAGAATTGTTGACAATATCAGAAGCTTAAAATCAAATTTAACAGCTTAAATTTATCAGCCAGAATATTACTGTAGTTCGGTTTTGTTTTAATGAGAATCGTGTTAACTTTAAGTAGGGTTTCAAACTCATTTATGATTTCTATTTATTTTGTTTTGAATTTGAATTAATTAATCAATGTACTCATTACACTTATAAAAATTAGAATTAACTTATTAATGATTTTGCTACAATCAATGCTGAAGGATTGATCTGAATATTCAAATTCATTCTTTTAACTGAATTATTTTGTTCATAAAAAAATAAAAATAAAGAGCTGCTGAATTAAAAAAATGTTTTGAACATGCATCGTATTGTAAACCGTAAAGTGCAACATGTAAAATGTTCATATTCATCATTGAAGGGCTGGTCATAGATAAAACTACAAAAAAGAAGAATGAGAAGTAGTTGAAAAAAGAGCGAGAGAAAGAGAGAGAGAGATTCATGTGAGTGCAATAACAAGAAGGAATGGTAATAGAAAGAAAGAGAAAAGGGAGGATAAAGTGATACAAAATAACAAAGGATGGAAGAATAGTTGATGCAAAATAGAAAAGGTCATAGATAAAACTACAGAAAGGAAGAATGAAAAGTAGTTGAAAAAGAGTGAGAAAGAGAGAGAGAAGGAGAGGTGGGGGAGGGGGGAGGTGAAGAAATAGGATGAGAGAGAGAGAGAGTGGTAGAGCGCAACAGAGAGACAAAGGGCATGGGAAAAAAGCCATAAATTAAGCAATTTGGAGGGTTAGAAAGGGGGGGGGGGGGAGAAAGAGAGATACGGCGATGAGAGCATGAAACTCGAGAGATCCAAATGAGCATGGGATTTATTTATTATATGTCAAACAAATGGGGCTCATAACCTCCATTTCCCATTGTCTTTTTTGTTTGTTATCGCTATTCTTTCTTAGTGATGTAGATTTTATTATTAATTAAACAACTGTTTATGTTTCTTCTTTGAATCTGAACATTTTCATCTGAATTATTTCATCAAACTTTAGTGATTGAGTGTTTTTTCTTCTTCTCTTTTTGGAATCAATCTTTTCATGTGTTTGTTTCTTTGTTCGTAATCCTCTCACCTTCACTCCGATCCAGTCAAGAAGCCCTCCTGATGTAAGTGGAATAGCGCCATCTCGCGTTATAATCTATAAAGTGAAGAAAACGGGCAGACCGCACATCTATAGCAAACATAGAGATATTATTAAGTATATATCTCTATGATAGCAAATCATGTCGATGCTTATTACATATAAGACAAGAGTTCCATTCTAATAATAAAAAAGATGAAAATATAACAGAGTGTAATTTAGATACCAAGTGTTTTTTGCTTGGTAGCTATTAATATTTTGGAGACGAAAAATTGAATTATTGCTTCAAGTGTTGGATCTAAATTGATTATTTTGCTGACGTTTGCATTGCTTACTTTTTACTAGTTGGCGAGGAATCAAGGCAATTATTTGTTGTTTTCTCTTATAGCGGTTTGTGCAGATATTAATTGGATAATTTTGTTAACTATGATCAAAAAGTCACCGAATCCTTTATAATACTAGTAACTCATAATATATATGTAAACAGCCAAATTATCGCTATTGTAGTAGTCTTCATCATCATCATCATCATCATCCTCATCATCGTCGTTTTCATTATTATCAATTTTCCTTTTGTTTAAATGTATTTTTTCTTCTTCAAGGTAATATTTTGATGTTTAAAACTACATAATATAACAATTCTGGATATAAAAAGAGGACAATGACGCCTGTTTTGAATATTAATCATGATTTTTTACCACCGTTGTCCTTTCAGTATTTTGATCGCTGGACCCTTACTCATGAGAGTGGATTAGCGCCCTCAACAGTTTGTTATTATTATTTCTTGTGATGACAAACCTTTCTGTGATTCTGTATTTCTGTATATGTACATGTATACGTATATGGTATATACTTTTTTTCGTATAAGATGTAGCATAAAGGGGATTCACATCTTTTCATTTTTTGCAACCCTAACACTAAACAATTCCCATCCCTCCGCCCCGGTATTTGTAACCAATTTTATTTCAAGGTGAGATATGCTTCTGTGGGGTATATGACACCATTTTAAATCATTTTGATATTATCTTTTCCCTTTCTTACTTTATGGAGAACGGGGACAAATCAGAGCCTATAGAATGATATGTTACATTGTGTGCAAAATAAATATGAAGTGTTGCGGTTAGGATTGAAATATGTTTCTGTTTTATGTGACTGTGAAATTTATATTGAACATGGTGAATAGGCAGTTTCTTGCAGCAAAATAGAAGGAGTAGATGCGTGAGATAATGAAGAAAAATACAAGATATATTAAAGGTACTATGTCCCATTTGCAGGCCCAAAAAATGAAAAAGTTAAATTCCAACTGCATTTGAAAGATAATACTAATTTAGAACTTCCCTAATAAAGGTGGGGCTTGAAAATGTCTTCAAGTGGGAAAATAACGACTATTAGTTGTCAAATCGACTTTAGGGCTATAGAGCCCAAAAGTAATAGTCTTGATTGTACCAAATGGTCATACGTTTTTTGCTTCGCAAAGATTCAATCAGTTTAATCTTGGCCATCACAAGAAGTGGGTTGTTGATGTAGACAAATGCTCATGTATCCTTTACAACTCTTTTCATGTATGTTATTACCAAAAAAGAAAAAAAGCCAGTCAGTCACTCAATAGTGTCTGACAGTGAAGTCTAGCAAGTAAACGGGTTTCCTTGCATAATTTGAATATGAGGACATTGCTAACGTTTAAATTTCACAGATAGGACATACAGTCATGACATATTCATAATTCCTGCAAAGTTCTACATAATTTGAGGTTGGCTGCAAAAGGGACATAGTACCTTTATAGAAGGAGAGGGGTTGATAGTTTTTTTACATCATAACATCAATGTCCTTCCATCCACCCGTGATAATATGTCGGTATATAAATCTTGTCTCGTCCATTTCCGCGGATGCAAAGTGTCTGACCACTCTCACTTATCACAAAATCAAAAACGGAAAATTCACTTAAAATAAGGTAATAAAATCGAACATCTTGTTACCCATTAACTATTCCTTATTCACTAAACCATATTTCCGCTTTCTAAATCCCCCATGAAGCAATTCTAGAGAATTTAGAGACGACAGAAAGTGTGTTTCGTCGAGCTCATAGCTCGCCGTCTCCAGCCATCTATCAGCGCGTCCACAACCAGCAAAATTAATGGCAAGTCTCGGCCTTCTATCCGCTCTCGCCTCGGCAGCTCGGCGGCTTTTCGACTCAGATGTCTGTTAGCGACCTCTGTAAATCACCGGAGCCGAGGCGGCACCTTAGCGGGGCGGGCTCGGCATCTTTTGCTGCCATATGTCCGATGGCTTTTTTATTTTCTTCTCCCGATGTGTTTACGGAGTGACGGCTGCAGCGACTGATCTCCCCTGTTATTTTGTGTGGCATTTCATGTCAGATTCGTTGGTCAGATGTAGGCCACACAGAGCCCACGGTTTGGAGATCATAAACAGCGATGATTTGTTGGATTAGGGGACTGTTGAGATATAACCTGTTTTTCATACAGTTCTTTACTTTACTTTTTCTTCTTTTTACCATGAAGAGAAATTCTTGTTTTGCTTTTTGATTTGATTTGATTTGATGTATTTCGATTGGTTTTTCTTCAACATTTCCTGACAATTTTGACATGTCTTGACAAAAAAAAAAATCATTGGTAATTCAATATCAATGTTATGGTTGTCCTTATATACTATTCTAAACTTATTTTCCTCAAGGATGATCAAAGTCACCCGAACTTTATTTTTAGGAGGAAGGGAGGGGGGGGGGGGGGGGTCAAACAAAACCCTCATGCAGTATAACGACCGTATTTGGTATTTAAAAAAAACATATAGATTATATACATAAACAAACAATAATTATTGAAATTAATACGGCTGGCTTGCTCTATTCAGAGTCATGAATATATACTCTTCCTATAGAGGTCTAGAAAGAGAAGGAAGGGAAGAAAGAAAGAAAGAAGAAAGAAGCATTAAACATACATGAATATAACACACACACAAATGATATAATTATGTTGTATACTATTATTATAAACACATAGAATTAGATTCCCCCTCCCTATATACCCGATCATGCCTATTGTAATGTTATATTATTTCTGATTGTCCTGTTTCTTGTAATCTTTCAAAATACATATTATTTACTCTGTTGTA